TAATATATATATATATATATATATATATATATATATATATATATATATCACACCCTAGTGGAAATATTTCTTACGAAAAAAAAGTACACTTAAAAAACTAAAAAAAACTTAAAACTCCAACTTTTCATTTGCTAGTAAAGTTTGCTAATCTTCTTTTGGTTTTTAACTCTCTAAATAAAAATTTACCTTTTTCTGTCGCAATTTTTTGTATAGAAAGTCAAACATACACACTCTACGCAAAATATAAATAATGGAAAACTTATTGTACCATCAAATAAAACTCAAAAGTATGGTAAGAATTCTGTTGTGTATCAGTGCATCTGTGAATGGAACAAGAGTCTTGTGTGCATTGTGAATGAGTTCAATAAACTCCAACTCCAAACTCCTTTGTCATCTTTTCTTAATCTTAATCAAAATCAATTTAAAAAAATTCTGAAAAATATTTTGTTAAAATTTTTTTCTATTACTATAATAATTATCCTTATTTTTTGTTTGTTTTTCTTTTCTCTTTTATTATTACCTACATATATGATTTTTAAAAAGTTTACTTAATGTGTGTCTATGTTTTATGTTTTATATCAATATGTATATTATTAGTCATATTATTTTGAAAAATGGTGTCACTCCTTTAATCAGACTTCTGTATGGGTGACACCATCCATACTAATCATTAACTTATTATAATAAGAAATAACAAATCATTTTACTTAATATTATAGTAATTATTATTATTTATAATTATTTTTTTTATTATTATGATTATTACTGTTATAAATTATTACTATTGATTATTATTTTATAATTATTGTTATTATTATTTACCTTATTATTGTAAAAATGGAAAATAAATAGCTTCTTGTTGTTGTTGTTGTAGTTGTTGTTGTTGTAGTTGTTGTTGTTGTTGTTGTTGTTGTTGTTGTTGTTGTTGTTGTTGTTGTTGTTGTTATTGTTGTTGTTGTTGTTTAGTGTTAGTTTGAAAGAGATCCCACGTTATATAAGGGCTTTTCCAAAGTGCATCAGGACTTTTTTATTATGCATTTTTCAAGGACAAAACTTAATTTGAATTTAAATTTAATTTTGTCCTTGAAAAAAATTAAATTTATTACTTATATCATAGTTTATTAATAGAGAAATTAAAATTAACTAAGAATTCTATTTTTATGACAAATGTAAAATCTCATTCTAATAGAATGTTTAGCGTCTACCTTCTTTCCAGCAGGATTTAGCCTTCAAAAATAACGCAAAAGCCATTCAAAAGAAAAATTTCTCGTGTTTCATTCCTGTGTCAGAATGGCTCGCCAACAGTCTAGATTTGACCACCTATGTTTTCTTTGTATAAGGTTATTCGTGTTGGAAAAACTAAAAAATGTAAAATACAATAAATTAAATGATTCTAAGGGTTTACTAATCAAAAAGTGGGATGAAATTCTTGACGGTATTGTCTATTGTCATAAAAGACAATAGATAATACCGTCAAGAATAAATATATCTGTATTAAAGAAAAATTAGAAAAATTTGCAAGAAGTTAATTTTTTATACTAAATATTAATATGTTTCAGAAAAATAGTTTTTCTTAAATCAGAAAAGTGCTCTAATTTAGCAAACACAAAAACTATTAGATATTTGTAAATCCCATTACTGTAAAGTGATGGGATTTATCCTCATCAGACTTAAATATATTAAAAAAAAAACAATACAAAAAATCTGCGGATTCTTTTAAAGTATAGAATGATTATATTCGAAAATTATTTTCTTTTTTTATTAGAAAAACTTCTTATTTTATCAGATAAAATAAAAACCAGAAACGTTTGATTTATCATATACTGTGCTTTAACACACGGTAAACGGTCTATTTTATTTGTAATTTAGTCACGAAATAAATCTGAAGAATTGCTTCGCATAAAACTAATTTATTTTGCAAACTTTGGAGAGAAACCGCTTCACCAATTCCATGTTAATCAAACGTTTTTTGTTTATTAAGTGAAGTTGCGCAAAACAAGGGAAAAAAATTTTTAGATTACATAACAGTGATAACTTCTAATTAGGATTTTTAGGATGTCCTACTTCTTTTCATTCTTTACTAATATTTAAACAACTAAAAAATATTCATGTGTTAAAAGAATCAATAAAGTCTTTCATCTGGAAAGAGATGAACATGTTATTTCTAGAGTTAATTCCTTTAAATGTTTTAAATCTTTTAAATTTGCGTTTCTTGCTTTAGTTTGTTACCTGAATATAAGTCAACCATTAACGAATACAAAGATGCTTATGTAAAACTTGGTCTTCAATTATCACTGAAAGTGCATGCTCTTATCAAACATACATGTGAATTTCTTTCACTTATGTAAAATTCAAATACGAATAAAGGATTAAGTTTTTGGTCTGAACAGGCCTCTGAATTTGTTCATTATGATTTTTAAGCAGTTTTGAGAGTGTGGATACAAGGTTCCTAGAAGCCTTAAAGACTATCCGCAAAGCCTGTTTTTAAGTCACAACTACCGATATACCTTCCTAAAATTCAAATACTTTTTAGGGAGGGAGGCATTGATAGCACTTAAAAAAAAATTTTACCATTATGAACTCGACTAAAATTCATCTGTAAAATTTACATTTAGTAAAAAACTATTTTAACGTTCAAAAATTATGACCTCGTAAAGTTGACAATCCCCTCAAATAGAGGGGGTTTCAAACTTTCCCTGAACGCTATTTATAAACGATAAGAAATTTTTTAAAGATAAATTAATTTATCTTTTTAAGGATACTGCAAAAAAAAAAAAATTTTCTCGTTTCCATATTTGGGACAGTGGGTTCTGATTTTTCAGGTGAATATTGTTCCCAGGCTCCTACCATTGTAATTTTTTGTAAAACGTTCTTATTTGATACCAGTATCAATATTAAAAAAATTTGAAGTTTGCACCATCTCTGAAAGTTATCTATTTTGAATATCAAAAAAGCATGACCTGCCCATTTAACCCCCTTTTTTTAAAAAGATAGAATTTTTTCAAAATCTAGGTCATAACAGAACAAGATATGGTGGTTTCGAAAATGTAATCTGTTTCTGGTGTACTTTTTTTTCGTTAAAAATATTTCTACTAGGGTGTGTACAACAAACTTAGGGGTTGTCCATAAAGTACGTACGCTCATAGGGGGGAGGTCTTCAAAAAAAGTTTTCTAATTTATCACAATTAACCAGCTAATCAATAGAAAAGTTAAAATTCTGATTAAAGATTCTAATTTGCCAACATAAAAAGATGTTTGGTATAAGTAGTAGAAGGTATAGTTTCCC